AATGCAGTTGATTCCGCACTTCTGCATACGGTCTACTGTGTTGTTAATAAGCTCTCGATACGGAACAACAACCACAGTAACGCCGGCATTGTCTATGCACGCTGGCACAGTAAACAGCAAGCTCTTGCCTCCGCCCGTTGGAAGCACAACCACAAGCGGCGTCTGACTGTTGAGTACAGCATGCAATGCCTGCTCTTGCTCCACAGACTGAAAGCTAATCTCCTGTTGCCTAACCACCTGCTGCATTGCCTTCTTAATAGCTTTGTCTTGATTGTCTTGCACGCAAATCCTCTAAGGCTGTAGTCCTAGCTCTTTCTCCCTGCTCTTGCTGCTAATGTCTTGCTCTTGTGTTTGCTTTGTTCTATAACAGCCTAATTCCCTCTTATTTTCCTTCTCCTTCTCCTTCTCCTTGCGTCCCCCTTCCACTTCCTCCTTTTGCTGCACTACCCTAAACCTACTATTAAGTCCTAAGAAGCGGTGCCACATTGTGCTAAGAGGTTGAAACGCCTCAATAGAGCGCGAGCTAAGATGCTTGACAATGTCAATTAGCACACTATAGTTTGCTAAGCCTATGACTGTTGTCCGCGAGTTTTGTAGCTCTACTAAGTCCTTGCCTTCTTTGTCCACCTTAGCTTCTTTAATCTCCCTAACATTGTCTTAATACCCTTTGCTAAACAAGTGCCTAACTGCAACTCGCCTAATGCTAACAGCTGTGTGCTGGTAGTTCTGTGTGTGTAGCTTAACACCTAGTCTCTTGCCTGTCTCTTGCTTTAGCGCCCGCGTCAGATGGTCTGTTGACTACGGCCCTTGCTCGTTCGCCCAGATGTAGTCGATGCGTCCTTCGCCGAGCACCTGCACCCGGAGATACTCCTGGAATGGCCGCAAGTATACCAAGTAGATGGCCATGACCTGCCCCAGCCGCGGCGGAAGAAAACGCGGAACCACCTTTAGTCTATCCCACTGCGACTGAGACTTGTGATAGCGGACAACAGTTATAATTTGGCTGTCTGCCACAAAGATATTGCGGTCCTGCAGCAGCCCGTTACGAAACCTTATTGACAAGATCTCTGGCCCTCGACCCGGCTGTCCAGACGTTATGTGCACGCACACTAAGAGCAGCGTTAAAAAGCGGTTGACCTGACGCAAGTACTGCTTAACTTGCTTAATATGCTACTTTCTGTAATGCTTTAGCCTACGGCCTTGCGCGCTCTGCTTAACCTGGGTCAGCATCCAGTATAGCTTGTCCGCTAGACTGTTCTCGCGCCGCTCTGCAAACTACTAGCCTTGCTGCGTGAAAGTTACTTCGTCTACCACGTGCGCTAGATTAATGGCAAACCGCTCTTTGGCCTCTTTAAGCCATATTAGCTCCTGCCATAACATCTCCTCTACTTCAACTACTATGTCCTGAGCCATCTTGCGGAACTGGCTAATGTAGATGGGTCGGCTGTTTAAGTAGAAGATCTTCTTGTCCTTAGACCAGTACGCGCTGCCTAAGTTGCCGTCTGTCAACGCAACATGCTTTCCATACGCCAGCAAGCTAATCACTTGGCTTATTAGACTGTACGAACTGTCGGCCAGATACTTCACTCTCTTGGCTAGGAAGCGCTCACGGTCCTCGTCAGTCTGCTTGCTGCGCTCAGCTGACGGAAGCAGCTTCTCGACGCCCAACACGCGTATGCAGTATGCTACGCCGGCGAGCATGTATGAGTAGTGTTTCGCCCTGCGCAGTCGCCGGGCCGTGGCATCGATGCCGAGCACGGCCAGAAAGTGGACAAACCCGCTGCTAAACGGCTGATCGCCTACTGGCTCAAAGATGAATAACGCAAGCACGTTAAGCAGCGCGTCCTCTAGCTCAACCCTTTCGCTGCTAGGGTCACCTAAGGCCTCCCACAACGCTAACGCTAGCTCCTTTTGCCGGCCCTTCCAGCAGAAGAGCTCGCGTGCGTCCTTCATCGTGTCTACCTTCGTCCTGCGGCGGTGGATAGGGTGATGTTGGTATCGTCGAGTGGTGATGTCGCTGTCGTCGCCGCTGGCACTACCGTCCTCACCTTCAGCGTGGCCAACAGTACGTAGTACGTTACGTTTGAGCTTTTTTCTGCCAGTAACTTCTCAATTTGGTAGTACTTTTGTACGTAAGCGGTGAATTGATTGGCAAGTACGTAACGTAACAGTAACTTCTCAAAATCCTTATACTTTTGTACTTTTCGCGAGAAGTTTCGTCGGTCCGGGTCAAAATTGTTCCGGGAGAAGCTTTTTGGCCTGGATGAAACGCCCTGCTGTTAGTATAGCTTGAATTAAGAGACTCTCTGGCTGTATACAACTGCCTTGACAACGATTAATACAGTGTTTAGTAGTAAGAGGCAAATAAAGCTCCTTAGCTAAAGTCGCAATAGTCTCTGCTTCACGCGTTGTTAGCAACGTAGCAATAGAATTTAAACGCGATTTTGTAGTCC